TTATATTTCTAGCTAGATATAAATAAAAATTATCGACTGCCGGCCATTTAGTAATTTGAAGACCCTGACCGGCTGCCGGTCATATAGACACAGCGTTATTTTGGCTTGCTTCGTAGCAAAGTAGCGATTGGACCCTCGGCGTTGTGTGACAACAAACAAATCGAAAGCTATGAGAAAAGAAGGCTTATTTTTATCCCCGCTTTTGCTCGATGACTAAAAGTTTGACTTCAAAATAAAAGGGTTTATGTCAAGGAAGAGTTTTAGTTACGAAACAAGCAATCTAGTGGAGATTTTTTTGCTTCGTAGTAAAGTAGCGAATGGACTCCTGGCGTGATGCGTTGTGTGGCATTTAACAAACAAATCGGACTCGGTGTTGTGTAAATTATTTTAGAGCTAGGTAAATCTTATCACGAACTAAATATCAACTACCACTCACCAAAAATATCTTATGAGTGTAGTTTATTTACTGAAAAATCTCAGATTAGAACTCTGATAAGTATTCCCCACGCACGTCACTTTTTGTTGTAACACAACGCCTCACGCCAGGAGTCCATTCGCTACTTTACTACGAAGCTAAAAAAACTATAAAAAAACTCCACTAGATTGCTTGCTTCGTAGCTAAAATTCTTCCTTGACATAAACACTTTTATTTTTAAGTCATACTTTTAGTCATCGAGCAAAAGCGGGGATAAAAATAAGCCTTCGTTTCTCGTTTCTCATAGCTTTCGATTTGTTTGTTGTTGTAACACAACACAGTACGTAAGTCCGTTCGCTACTTTACAACGAAGCTAAAATAACCACTAGATTGCTTGTTTCGTAACTAAAACTCTTTCTTGACATAAATATCCTTCAAATAATTTCCTAAGAAAAGAGCGAAAGCAAGAAACCTGTTTGATATAACAGATTACAAGACGGATATTCGGCTGACTTCTCCATTACGCCAAAATATGCTTTGAAATTTCTTTCTTTAAAAAAACACTCAAATAATAATAAATTACTTAAAATTACTGATAATAAACGATCCAAAATGTTATAGAGGAGGTTAACAGGTATCTTGGGATAAAGTAGCGATTGTGCTACCTCGAGGTAGCGAATCGACTTCTATTAAGTAGCGAATCGACTTCTATTAGTAGCGAATGTGCAGTAGCGAAAGTGCAAGGTAGCGAAGACCGTAATTCCCAGGAATCAAACCCATATCACATTGACCATAGGAGGCGAGCACTCTCACCAGGCACCATCCACACCTATCACAACTATCCTATATTTATTTTTGAAAACATTTTCTTTATGGATTAGTCTTCTACCATTCTACATATCTGGTGAAAAAAGCAACTTGTCAAAAATGAATACCAGCTAGATGTATAGAGCCAATATTTTTCCTCGACCTCAGTACCGCTAATACCTGTATTTCATTTCCAGAAAAATTTGGACCAAATGTGAATGTCCCTGGACAAAGACAGTTCCCAAATATGCGGGATCTGGAAGATAACCTACCAGACATAGCTGATGCAAGGTATCCCATAGCACAGCATGGTGACACTGCCAGACAGGGGCGAACCGAGCAGCATGTCTTCAAGCAGCAAGGTAAATATTCACCATAATCACTGAGCCTGAGGTGAATAATTGTTAATTAATTGTTAATAGTATAATTTTAGACTTGAATATCAGAGAAAAGACGAAATTGAGGATTAAAAAAAGTTTTGAAATATTGGACAGGAAAAATGGCCGACCTTATCTTTTTATATATTTTTCTCTCAAAATAGAGCCACTCAGTCCTACGACCGAAATATCAAATATACTGAGTACACGATGTTCGAATTTTTGACGCTAAAACCCTTTGCTTACTCTCAGTTCTTTGAGATAGTGCTGATTTAAGCTGTCTAAGGGCTGCATGATGTCCGGCCAGCACTCCTTAGATGGACAAAATGGCTCTGAAAATCTCCAGTTTTCCAAATAAAGCTGCCGTTGCTTCGCAGAAGAAACGTTGACCGCATGCCCGAGAGAAATCCTAATTAACTAATTAACTCAACTCTCTGACACTCAACGTCAACTCATCGTCAACTCTCTGACACTAATTTTCATTGTGAAGTGGATAAGGAACTTACCCCTGAAATATTAACTAATTAACTAATTAAAGTTGTACTATTTTTGCTTGAATTTACTATTTCCTTGTATTTTTAAAGGGCGATAAGGAGGTTGATGAGGAAAGGGAGCAATGACTTGAAAAAATAAAAAGCCGCGTGCTACGAGAGAAGTGTTAGGAGAAGGAAACTTCTTATCGCGCGCGACATGTAAATTCCCGGTTGGGCTATTTATAGAAACCGGATGTAGTTTAATTTCGCCTTACCCTACTCCCGTGCGTCAACTAGCTAACGGTCACGCGCTCTTTCCGTTTGTAATATTGACCAACTAGAAGTTTTTATCGTTTTTAGTGATCATAGCAACAACCGAAAAGATCACTAACCTATCTTATAAAATAACTATTATAAATCTCTCGTTCTGATTGGTTGGGGCGCGTGCAGAGAGAGCACGCTCGCGCACTTTCAGTTGCGTCATTCCAATTCAAAATAACGCGACCGCTTATTTATGTACTCTTGGTGTAATTCTTTTTTCCTCGTAGATGATACCGTACCTACTGAAATTGTTGCCCGCGGTGCAGAAGCACAGAAAGCGTATGAAGAAGCCCTTAAAAGTGGAAAAAGAAAAAATCAGCGTATACTTGTTATGGTGGTGGGGCCGGCACGCGCAGGAAAGACGAGTTTACTTAAATCTTTAAACGGTAAACTACTGTTAGGGATAGAAATTTGCAATAAAATGAAAATTAGCGTGAAAATATGAAATAGCAATAAGGTGTCAACAACAAAAATATGTTGAATACTAATGTATTTAATGTAGTTTTTGTGTAATTTCACTTTAAAGGAGAAGAGTTTGACCCAAAAGAAGACAGCACTGATGGGATTCAGATGCAGCACACATTTTGCAAACCACAAGAAAACTGTTGGGGTAAGGACAGTGACGAAGGTATCTCATACTCGGACTGCATGGCGAACGTTATTTTTGAGAATCTTCAAGGCGAAAATGATGAAAACATTGCTGGAGCTAGCAATGACTCGGAACTCGTAAAAAATTCGGTGGGATCCAGTGAAAATCTTCCAAAGAATGATGATAGCGATGATCACAATGATGACGATGACGAGACTAAAGCAAGCGATTCTTTGCATGAAGAAACTAGAAATCTCCCAGAATCCGTCAAAGAAAAATTATTAATAAAATTAAATCAAAAAAGCGACAAGACGAAAAAGAATGAATTGTATATAAAAGCGATTGACTTTGCTGGCCAGGCTATCTACAATGTCATCCATCCCATATTTCTAACTTCGAAAGCAGTCTTCATTCTAGTTTATAATTTAAAAAACATTCTTCATGATCCCATGAAATCTAAAGTCGAGAAAGAGGGCGCAGAAAGAGAACTCGTAGATCCCTTTGAGATGACAAACCTGGAAAACATGGAGTTATGGTTGTCCTGCATTTCTTTCTACACAGATACACAGAGAAAGCCAAGAGTAGACGAATTGTCGTTGCCCCCTGTTTTCATAGCCGGAACCCACGCAGACGAATTTGACAGTAAGCTCGAAGCTGCAAAACAGATTATCCGAAAGATATACAAATGTCTAAGTCCCAGTAAAAACCCAACTGGCTATCATGTTAAACGTGATCAAATCTACACCGTGAATAACAGTATTTCTGGTAATGGAGAAATAAGAGATGAGTCCGTTAGAAAACTCAAGGTAGATGTTGAAGAGTTGTCAAAGTCTCTTCCACATATGAATGAAGATATTCCTATCAAGTGGCTGTTGTTTGAGGAGCAGCTGTCAGACCTTGTAACGAAGAAAAACAAAAAATACATCACAATCGATGAAGCTCGGAAGATAGCCAATGTGTGTAAGGTGAACGTGAGTGCCAAATCCAAGGAATTCCCCACCTTGTTAAACTATTTGCACGACTTGAAGACTATAATTTACTTTGAGGAGACTAAGGTAGTATTCATTGATACGCAATGGCTGGTCAAGGTGTTTACAAAAGTCATCGAAGTCATGCCAGTTGAGAAACGAGATGGCTTTGATAAGTCCTGGGATAAACTGGAAGAAGAAGGTGTCTTGGAAAGAGCTTTGGTGGAGCACGTATGGAAAGGCTTAGTAGAGGAACAAGACACAGTTGATTCTCTTCTTTTAATTATGGAGAAGTTCTCACTCATTTGTCGTTGGAATACTAGCGAAGGAGAAGAAGTGTACCTTGTTCCCTGTATGTTGTGTAACAGCATGAAGCGAGAACAAATCGCAAATTTCCTAAAAGATCAGAAGACGACAACAATGGTCATTCGTTTTAACACTTCTCATTTATCGCTAGGTATCTTTCCTAGACTTTTTGTAGCTATTGCTGAAGAAGGAAAGAAAGAATGGCCAAATCTACGACAACCAAAACTTTGCAAAAATTTCTGCAGGTATCAATTTTAATACAGAAACCTAGAAAGATGATAGTTTTTCCTAAACTAACTTGCATGATCTTACCTTCAGTTCCTTACTTACTCCCTTCCTCCTTATTTCTGTCCCTCTCTCAGCTGTCTTAGATAAAGATCCCACATGTACTGTAATCCAGTAAGTAATTTATTCCCTCTTTTTCAATTATTAGGTTTTCTAATGTTGGCAAAGAAAGAAAGTTTGATGTCTTTGTCATTCAGTCAAGCATTCGAACAATCAGTGTGCTAGTATACAATAAACAGAACAGCGATCTTGAAGACGTCACCAAATTCTGCCAGTACTTTCGTAAAATCCTTGCTGAAATCTTTGATGACATGCGGCGAAAGTTTCCTTGGATGCAAAACGTGACATTCGAGTATGGAATACTCTGTCCTGTTTGTACAATCTTACCAAACAATTGCAATTCTCACGAGATAGAGGGATGCACCAGGGATTCATGCCTTCACTTCGTAAACGAGGACCGCTTGAGCGAAGATGCACCGGAATGCGAGAAGAATGATGCAAATCTAGATAACGTGATAGAGGAGGAGGCATATATGTACTGGTTCCCAAGACAAGTAAGTGATCTCATTACTTGATTGTAGTCAATGCTAAGAATTACCAACCTTTTTTAAAATATAAATAGCCGACTTATGAGATGTTTTGAAAGGTCAGTTTGGGTCGAGACATAAAAATCAGGCTTTCAGGAAGTACGTTTTGTGGGTTTTTCTTGACTTGAAATTGGAAGGGTTGGTAGTAGATTTGAGCAGTTTACGATTCGTGAGTGTTTTATTATTTTTTTGAAATCATCGGCCTTAAAGTGTTGATGACAGAATGTTTACAACTTCCTCTCCTTTTTATGCTCAGGAAAAGCATGAAATGATATGAGTCTCGAGGAGCGGGCTTCCTACAGTTTTTTTAGTGCTCCACTGGTCGACTTTGGCCGGCCGTAGCTTATTTATGCAAGCACCCACAATTTTGATATTTTACCAACTTACTGCACGAAGATTGAAGTTTGTAATCTACATTTTATTGGAATCGGAGTTACCATAGCAACAAACCAGTGACATCACTGTTTTGAATTAGCAGCATTTTTACGTCATATTCGATCTAAACTCTTAAAGTGCTACTACGACGAAAATCGCTCAAACTTGGATTCAGCTGAAACTTCCTAAGAATACTCTTTAAAGGTCCAATAATCACTGTATGAAGTGTTTTCTCGATATTCAGGACGAAAGTATGATATTTTTACGATTATTTTTTG